CCCCCGGCCGCCCCCTCACTGCGGCACAGGCACGCCCCGCTGTGACGTCATGCCATTGAAGAGCGCACCAGCGCGTTACCCTCGCCTACAAGAAGAGCGCCGAGCAGGGAAGAGCAGAGCCCTTTACAGCAGCCCTAGCACCTACGTGGCGGTGTGCGAGAGAGGGGAAGAGAGAGGGAGAGCAAGCCCGCGGGGGCCGCGGAGGCGCGCAGCCGCGCTAGGCGCTGCCTCCTCTGCAAGGGGGTGCCGCCGCTGCCGCCGCCGCCGCCGCTGCCGTCGCAGCCCGCCCCGCCTCAGTTCCCGGCCAGAGCCTGGCTCGTTCGGACGCGGCGTGGCGCAGCGTGGCGCAGGACGAAACCCGAGCAGACAGCGCGCCTCAGCCTGCACGACCAGGACGCCGACGGGGAGGCGGAGCACCTCCTCAGGGCGCCGCGGCCAGCTCCGGACCATGTGAGCCCCCGGAGGCTTGGAGTGGCGGGGCGTGGTGCGGTCGCGGCCACGCCTGCTGCCACGTGCGCGCCTCTGTGTGTGTGTGAGCGTGTCTGTGTGAGTAGGCGTGTGATTGTGTGTGCGTGTGACAGAGTGGCAGTGAGAATGCGTGCTGGCGATTTTCTCAGTACATCCTGTTGTACAAAAGAAAGTCGATTGTTCGTTTGTGTCGATTTAGTATTTAGTAAAACGGTTTGAGTTGTGGGACAGGCGTAGGGTTATTAGTGAGGGAGTATTGCAAAGGGTATGTTGGATGCGTACACCCTCGATCCTCATTGGATACATCCATCGAGTGTTGTTTCCCTCCGGCTATTTTGCGGTCTGCGCAAGAAACATTTTTTTGTCTAAAGGTCAATGATATATTTCTTTATAATTCATATGGTGTAGTATACGTTTCACTTGCGTGGTTCACTATCAACACACGCGTGTTCTCTTGCTTCGTTTTAAAAAAAGAAGAAAAGTATCTAAACCTGTTATTAAAAAAAGGGAGCAGGGAACAAATCTCTCCCTATCTTCCTACATTCACCCCAAAAACAACAAGGAGAAAGACACGTAACTTTGAAAAATTATGTATATATAAGTTTATTGTTTAAATTATTTCAGTGGAGTTTTGTTATGATATGGCAAGGAAATTCGATATGATTCCAATGAAATTTTGATAGTGCTGTTTTAGAGGGTTTTGTAAATCCTGTAGACCTTACACGTGAGCCACAAACCCTTTTTTTTCCCCGAAGCGGGAGAATCACAGCTGTGTGTAGAGCATCGATCCCCGCCGACGTGAGGGCGGAGGGTTTCCAAGTTCTACCGTCTTTCAGGCGCGCTCGATGTCAAGTGAAGTGAAATACTTACTTGATAAAAAATACTTTGTAGTGGAAGATTACCTCAATTGGCCAATTGGCCTAAGGCTGTTGCCCTAATGGAAGGATTTGTACATGCCACTGTAACTGTCTACTTTGAACGCAGCTTTCAGAAGTTCCCGTGTGAAAAAACAATTTTGATTTCGACAAAAGGCTTAAACCTTGATAGAAATTGCAAATTACCTACAGTTCGACTTGATGAAAGCACAAACTGCAATTGCGGCTGCAGATTTAAAAGTGAGATTTTGGCATCCAGGTGATGCCGACCGTACCCATACCCCTCTGCAGCTTGACGTTAACCACCGGAGAGCCCGGCGGAAGTGATGCCTCGTATGCTCGTATCACGTGTCTCTTTGCACACTCCCGGCAGGCCAATAGAGAGGTTGCCTCCCTCACGCGGGTCCCCCGACACCACCCCTCTGTCCACAACACCGACTCTAAACACGCCGCGCGTCGCGACGGACGCGCCCTTGTGCGCCATAAAGGCATCGAATCGATGACGTCGCTTTTGGAGAAATCATTTCTACGGCCACTAGAGTAACGCGCCCCCAGTGCCGGCCAGCGCGCCACGCTGTGTAGTACAGCGCCATATCCGTCACCCCCCCCCCCC